GAGTATTGTAGGGTTAATTATGGGGGATACGAGGAGTTTGGACTATGGCCCATGTGGGAGTTTCCATAAACAGTGAGCAACAATATAGATTAGGTGAACCCCCCCACCCTGTAATAGTGATTATAAGGGATAATCGTGATTTTATGAGGGTCCTTTTATATTCCCATTATACCACCACTACAGGGTGGGTGGTCCTCCTAAAGTATGGAGATCAATATACTTATAATCTTCACCCCTAGTTTTCAAGACTCCCCTTAACCCCGCCCTAATCTCCCCCTACTCCCCCCCCCTTATAGAACCTGGGAAGAGTTCGGTAACATGTCGCAAGCTACCGGTCTGGTTTGGGGTTTAGGGTTTAGGGTCTGACAAGAATGTGTGGGCACTTGGGAGGGTGTCGTAGATTCTGGTCCCTTTCTGGGCGCCCATCTTAGTTTTAGTATTCCCCTCACATGGTCCTTTTTTGGGTTGCCATTTTTGTAGGTTCCTTCTTGTATAGGGTACCCCCCAAAAAGGCGCATAATTTAGAACAGTCTCCACGTGTGTCGCAGTGAAGGCCGTGGCGTGGAATGACTTTATCCTCGTGGCGAGTATCATGATGATCTTCTTGAATGGTTTCTTGACTTCTTAGTATCATTTGCATTGTTTGCTGTTGCGCTTGGAGTTGGGAGGCAGAAGAGTGGGTGGCCTTGCGCTGCATTGTCTCACTTCGTCCTTTTCTTTGTGCCAGCATTAAGGTCGGCCTTTTCATAATGCCGCGAATTCATGAGTACTATACAAGGCTAGTGTTAGCTAATACCGACAGCAATTATACTAGCAACAGTATAGCGGCAAAACGAGAAACAATCAAACAAATGACAACGCAAAGAACAATACCTAAGCAATACCATTAGTCAACATGACAACTCAAAGAAGAGTAGCACTAGGCTTATGCTTCGTCGAGAGAACGCGCAGCCAAATCTACAAGGAACCTTTTTTCAAGTCAATAATGAGGGGCCCGTTTTCGGGGTTCCTATAATAAGGGTTGGCGTATACGGGAATTTCTTTTGGGGATCCATATTTGAGTCCCCGTGTTCATGGAAACTACCATGTTAGTTCGTAATTTGTACTGTCCTTGCAGAAAGCCCTAAACCTGAAAATTTGAATCTTAAACCTCAGACCTAACCTGAAACCTTAACCCCAAACCTTAAACCTCAAACTCTTAAAGCCCTAAACCCTAAACCCTAGAAAGGCTCCCTCGTTCAGTATTTGAGCGACCTGATTCCGCGCGTGTCAGTGCTGGTGGACACAGTCAGCAGGCCAGGAGCCTTTCGGGTTTACTGGGGTTTAGGATTTAAGGTTTAGGGTTTAGGGTTTAGGTGCTGTGCAATTCAAAGCTACCTCACCCGACCCCACCCTAAATGCCTTTTTTTTTTTGTGGAAAAAAAAGGAATAGTACCCAAATGGCCTGCAATTGGGAATTCAAATTATTCTAAATTACCGTGTAGGTGGCATTTTGGGATAGCCCATGCTTACCCCGATTGTTGTATAAGGGAGCCTATTCATAAACAATTTTGAGCGCCTTCAAAAAAACTTATAAACAATTTTGGGCGAGCTGAAAATTATTACGTTCACACATTGGGGGAGTTGGGAACCTCAAGCCCTACACCCTAAACCCGACCCTAAACGGTCCTTGAGCTCGAAAAATTCCTAGCCCAGTGTTGCTGCATGGGTACCCCCCCCTAGAAAGACTGGAATCTCCCAAAAGAAGGACAGTATCAGTGTCCATGTTCGTTTTGGGGGAGCAGTTGGTAAGAACCCTCGGTTTAGGGTTTAGGGTTTTACAGACCCCCTGTATAATCTCTACATAACTTTTTCGGTGCCATTTGATCCTTTGGCGCCACCCAGGAGTCTAAATTCTTAGCCGTAAGTCGGGTAACAAGCACCGGATGTAGGAGCCTGGTAGGAGTGCCAATAAGATCTTCTCATAACCCTCATGTGAGCTATAGTCTAAACTCCTTAATTAAAGGGGTTATATAGGGGATTAAATAGGACAGTATTATAGGGCTTATGAAGGGGGATACTAGGAGTCTAGACTATAGCGCATATAATACGATAAGCCCTAAACCTTGAACCCATGTTACTGTTTAGAAGAATGCGCTGCCAAACCCAAGTGTTATCATTTAGGGTTTGTCGTTTACTTGGAGGGTCAGGGAGACGTAGTATATTTGTATCTATAGGGCTTAGGGTTTAGGGTTGGAAGGTCAGGGAGATTTAGTAAGTAAGTTAGTAACCCCTATAACCCATATAGTAACCCCATTTATCCCCGTTATCAACCTACTTACCAAGTCCCCCTCACCCCCAAAGTAGGCCTACATTGCAGGAGATTTTGAGCTCTTGGGTGAGGTGGTAGTTTCCCTAGATATGGGACCCCACCAACATAGACTCCACTATACGATCATCAGTAAGTATGACGAGGCTTCCCAAAATGGTATCCCTGGATTTCTACATAATCCCAGTTTCAATGTTGTTTTCCGTTTTCTTGTCCATTTGATTCTCCATTATTGGGGTAGTATCCCTAAACCCTAAACCCCAAGCCTACACCCCACGTATCTGCAGAGGTTTTAGCTTTAAATAATCCCGACATCATCCCTCTCTCATCCTTGCATAATCCCTAATTTTCGGAACTTCCCTAGGTCTATCACGCCAGTGTTCTTCCTTGTCATCATCCTCGGAGACGTCTTCTTCGGGTTTGTGCATCTCGTCCGCCTTTGCCAGAGCACCCAATACACGATTTCGGGCTCAGGGTTTAGTTAGGGTTTAGGGCTTAGTGTGTTTCAAGAGGCTACTGTAGAAGCCACATGAGCTATAGTCTAAACTCCTTAAAGGGGATTTAATAGGGGATTATATAGGGTTATATAGGGATATATAGGGTTNAGGGTTTAGGGTCTAAACTCCTTAAAGGGGGTCATTTAGGGGATTATATAGGGGAGTACTATAGGGGTTATTAAGGGGGATACTAGGATTTTAGACTATAGCTCACATGATTATCAATAATGTCCCGCAACAATGCGTATATAGATGTGATCTCAGTTAACCCCCCAAAGCCTATTCTAATTGACTACAGCCCCGAAGCCCTGAACCCTAAACAGTGGTTTTCAGGTTTTTTTCCATTTTTCCTATTTAACCCCTATACAACCGCAATATATACCCTATTCTATGATTGTAGTTTCCATGTTCTTTTCCATTTTCCCTATATGGCCCATTCCTTGTGGAGTCTGCCCATCAAGCCGCAGGATTTGGAGCAATCTGCTCTTCGGAAAGAGCATGCGGGACCCTGGGTTGTTAAGGGACTTAATTTAAACTATATTGGGGGTAGTTTTATAGGGTATATAAGGACATATACGGTTTAGGATTAAGGCTCTTAATTTAAGTGACTATATCGGGGGTAGCTATATTGGGGTATACAAGGAGGTTTAGGGTTAAGGGACTTAACTTAAGTTACTCTATTGGGGACATCTTATTATTGACTATGTATACCCATTATGGTAACTTAATTCAAGTTCCTCAACAGAAAGCCAGGACTTTGCTGACATCCAGCTCTGCGCCATTTCCCTCACAGAGATGATTTTTGGTCGTCTCTCCGTGGTAGAGGAGTGCAGTAGGTTTGCAAGGTAGCATGTTATGCAGGTGCAAGTCATACCTTACGGCGCAAGAATTGCTCGTGAGCAATCGAATGAAGGAGCTTCGCAACGCCTTCCCTCTGACGGGCTTTCTCTTCTACCTGACATTTATGCCCATTTGGCTGAACACAAAGGGCGTTTGGATTCTGAAGTGGAGGCATGATGAGCAGCGTTGAAAGGGGGCTCAGAGCTTCGAGTTCAGGAAACTATCACAGTGCCTTAATCTAGTCGTAGCTTCTCCATGGTGGGTAGGGTGTTTTGAAAATTGTGCGGATGCATGCTTCGGCTGTTGTTGACAGAGGTCGTAGTTTTAGAAGGATGATCAGAAACCTAGGGCTTCACTTGACTTCAGCTTGGTATTTCTCAGTATCCTAAACCCTAAACCATAGACCCTAAATCCCTAAACCCCTAAATCCTTAAGCTCATAATAGGATCCTATCGCTCCAGCATGCACTTTGCCGGATGTGTGTAGCAACAGGGGTCCAGGCACGAGGTGTCAATGACAAGGCTTAAACCCAGCGGCAGCTGTTGCCAGGCTAGACCATATTATACTATGTTCTATTATATCACACGTTATTATATTACACTATACTATGTTCTATTCTACTAGATTATGCTAGGTTGTACAATATTACTTAAGAGCCTCCGGCTCAGTCCGCCGACCCAGAGGCGGAGAAAGCACGAAAGCCTAAACGCGAAACCTTGAGGGTTTTCAGCGGCTGGCAC